GGAGAGAATTTGAGCCATAGTAACAGCTTTCTGCTAGAAAAATATCATCAGGGCATGTGATAAAAACAAACATGTAGAGTTTATGTACAGTTTATGAGATTAACAGATTTGATTATGTAGCTGTTTCCGTCTATATTGTCACAAAATGATAGTACTTCACATAAATAAAGCAGAAATCAGAATATACATTGTAAAGTATCCAAGAGAGCTGTTCTTTTATAATACACTTTTAGAAATAGATGGCTCACTAATATAGCTGAATGCCTGATTGACTCTAAAAGGTTCCTTTTATTGGGCAGATAATATGAATTTTGAAAAGTAAAGACTTACAAAGTATCTATTTACCTTATCCATTATGTATTAAAATCTATTAGACTAATGTTAAGGGCCAATTCCTCTGCTGGTATAAATGGTGCAGCTCCAGTGAAGTCTGTGGAGTTGTGCCAGCAAAGTATTTGGCCTCATCTCTTTAAAACACCATAGATAAAGATATAGATATAGATTACACATTAGCTACTTCAATTAACCAATCAATCAAATTATATTTCTTAAATTGACCATCTTTGCAAATAAACAAGCTGCATAGAATTGAAACAGAGTAAAGATACAATAGTTAACTTCAAAACATTGGTAAATAACATTTAAAAAACCAATATCCCACCATTTAATTCATGCTGAGATTTAGGTTAATTAGTTAATGTTTACACACATCATTGAAGGTGAAAAATGTTATATAAGTGCTAAGCAATATCCATATTATTATGGGAAGCTGGCTTCAATCTTACCTGTGAAGAGATGATTTACATAATTCTTTTGTAAATACATGTTTTTACATGGTAGACAGATAATAAATAGTATATAATGTGGCATCTATCACTGAGGTAAAATTCTCTTTGACATCACTGGGCGATTTGCCTAGGGGCTTCAGGATTGGGCTAATAATATTAACAACAACAGCCAATATTTAGATAACATGAAAGTTATTAACCAAAGGAAGGGAATGGGAGATTAAAACTAAAGCTTTCAACTGCCTCATCTGAAAGTTATCCTGTTATGACTAATTACTGCAGTGCAACAATAAGGCAAATCCCAGGCTACATTTCAGCCCTAATTTTTAATTCTCTTACTTTTAAATATCATATCACAAAAGCAATATTATTTAGCTATGGCAATTTGTTTTGGAGCATTAATATTAAACCAGTACAGTGGTTTCCTATTTAGTGGATTACAAAATGTGTGGGGTTTGGTGAGTATTTTCTCACTGGTTATGAGAAAAATCTCTTTGATTTGCCTCATATAGCTATTAAATAGCTACAGAAAGATTGATTATGGTACTATAAAGTACTTCATCATTAATAATTGTAACAGAATATAAACAGATTCCATGACTGTGTGAGGCCTTTATTAGAACATCTGAAAAAAAATCATTCCATCAGTTTGCTGTGGAAATTTCTGGCAAAACTGATTTCTTTGGCTTTCCAGTGTTTCATATAGCAACATGCTATTCTCTCACCAGTACAGCAATAATGAGGACTTAAGTCACAATCATATTAGTAGTTATAGACAAACCCTCAATAAAACAAAATACAGTAATGATTGCAATAACATATGTGTAGCACGTAATGATCCTGATCTTGTCCCTATAGAAGTTTATGGGATTTTAGTTGCTGATCTCACTGAGAACATGATTAATCATATCATGCATGCTAATATATTTAAATATTGAACCTAATGGTTCACCTTATATGTAGGCAAAACTCCTACTGAAGTCAGCAATAGGGTTCCTGAATACATAGTACAGGATCAGGCCATTACTGGTAGCTTATAGTTGCTATACAGGCTTGTGTCTAGGAGTGCATGCAGTGTCTGCGCTTAGGCTGCCAAATCAGATTGTGTCTGTGATCTATGTTCATTCTGCATGCTTGCTAGAATAATTTATTATGATACTGTGCTTCCAAAGAATACATTCACTTCCAGACACTATAGTAATACCATACAGTTGGTTCAAATAAGCATTCCAAGCCAGTGCATTTTTCATCTTGAAAAAAAAATGTCAATGCCAAAGAAGTTTTGTTTTATTTAGTACCTACTGTCATTGCATTTGATACCAGGTACAGAATTAATATATTAAAAATAATAATTACTCTCTAGGCCTTTGCATTGATTTTCATTTATTGTTGCTTTTCATTTATTTTGTTGACCAGTGCTGTCAAAATGAGAGGATAATCTGCTCATAGTATTAATTTTCATGAATTATTGCCCTATTCTGTATAAAACTTCATTGTTTATTTTTTTCATATTTTGGATAAAATGACTCTGGTATTATCTGAAGCAGAATCTGTTTGTAGGATGCAGGTTGCTCTTGATGTTATCTTGCTGATACACAAATATATTGCTGCTGATTCGCAAATTTAACTAACCAAATAAATATTCAGTGTATGCCAATCTTTTGTGCACTATTAGAAATGTATTACTTTGTATGTCTGCAACACGTTGACTGACAGCTCATTTATTAATACTGCTGCTATAGAAAAAGCAAATGGAGCGCTCTAAGGCTATGTCTACACTCGCGGCTTTTTGCGTGACAAATATGCAAATGAGGCTAAGTGTGGAATATTGCCGAGCCTCATTTGCATACCTAATGATCTGCCATTTTTGCAGAAGAGGCGCTTGTGCCACAAGGAGCTGTCTACTCTGCCCCTTCTTGCGCAAGTAAAACCCTCTTGCTCAATGCCGTTATTCCTGAAAATAATCGGCGTAACAGCATTGCGCAAGAGGGTTTCTCTTGCTCAAGAAGGGGCAGTGTAGACAGCTCCTTCTGGTGCAAGAGCCTCTTCTGCAAAAATAGTGGCTCATTAGGTATGCAAATGAGGCTCGGCGATATTCTACACTTAGCCTCATTTGCATATTTATCGCGCAAGAAGCCATGAGTGTAGACATAGCCTAAGCGTCTCAGACAAAACCATCATCAAAGTCATGGGAATGTTGGCTGTGTAAAGACTGCAGGATTGTGCCTAGAATGGGCCAGAATATGCTCTCACCAGTTACACTCCTGCAGTCCTATTAACTTTTGACTCCAGTGAGGTGGTACCTGTTCAAATGTGAAAAGATTTAGCCCCCATCTTACTTTTTGATAGGGTGTTATTCTTCACTAGTTAGAAGAAGGAATATATCACTTTTATTTTTATTTTTATTTAGTATAGCTTTTGATTGAAGCAATACACAATGATACAAATCAGCACCTCCACAAAATACATTCATTCATTCATTCATTCATTCATTCATTCATTCATTCATTCATTCATTCAAATTAAGCTTTCATACTGGATAATCTTGTGCAAATTCATGCCTTCTGAGATGATTTTTCAGATAGATGGACTAATTACTTAGAAAAAGTGGTATCTATATGACAATGATTTTATTCAGTTTGCTGTTTCTATTTACAAAGAGTGGGAAAAGTTGGATATTTTACTTGACGTCTGTTATAAAATGAGAAACAAGATGTGCTCTCACTCCTGGTGGTGTAAGTGGAGGTTTGACAGTAACTTCCATAGGAGCAGGAGCAGGTAATAGTATTGAATGATAACATTACATGTAAAAACCCCAATCATAGACTTATAGAAGATGAGGGTTGGGAGATACCTTAGGAGCAGGTCATCTAGTCCAATTCTCATGTAATTGTTTTAAAATAAAGTAACACCTACATTTTTATATTTTATTGTAACCTATGGATGACTAGCCAATGCTTATACAAAATTTTTCTTTAATTAAGAGAGGTTACTTAGGTCTTTAGTAAATTATTTTATATTAACTTTAAGGGTGTCAGTCACAAGTAACTCAAGCAATTAACTAAAAAAAACTTGATTAAAATACATCACAAATAATCACAGTTTTAATCACACTGTTAAACAACAATAAAATGCCAGCTGAAATTATTATAAATATTTTGGGATATTTTTCTACATTTTCAAATATATTGATTTCAGTTCCAGCACAAATTACAAAGAGTACAGTGCTCCTTTTATGTTATTTTTATTACAAATATTTGCACTGTAGAAAATATAAACAAAAGAAATGGTATTTTTCAATATACCTCATACAAGTATTATAGAGTGATCTATGAATGTGTAATTTACAAATATAGAATTTTTTTTGTTACATAACTGAACAAAAAAGTGCAAAACATTAGAGCTTACAAGTCTACTCAATTCTACATCTTGTTCAGCCAGGCACTAAGACAAAAAGTTTGGTTACATTTATGGGAGATAATGCTGCCTGCTTCTTATTTACAATGTCACCTGAAAGTGAGAATAGGTGTTTGCATGGGACTTTTGCAGCTGGTTTTGCAAGGTATTTACATGCCAGATATATTAAATATCTGTGTGCCCCTTTGTGCTTAAACCACTATTTGAAAGGATATGTTTCCATGCTGATGATGGGTTCTGCTCCATACCAAGCCAAAAGCAGTGTGGAATGTAGAAAACATTCAAAATATTTAATAAATGATATTCTATTTTTTAACAGTGTGATTAAAACGGCAATTAATCATGATTTTTTAAATGTGCAATTAATCACCATTAATTTTTTTAATCATTTGACAGTCAGAATAAACTTTGCTACATTATCTTACAGAATGTGGTGGTGAAGTTATTTGCAATGATGGAATAATTCGAATTAATATTAGATTTTAAAACAAATATATAAAAATGTGAAAAATGCTGGATTAGGACTTGAAAATAGAGTTTACATATTCTTCATATTCTTATTAATTTTATCTTGAATTAAAAAATAATGTTTTGTTTTGTATGGTACTGGTCCAATTTGTTAAATTGTGATGAAGATTTGCTTCTATTTCAGATCAGTATTGCGTAGTTTGTCGGAAAACTAAATGATCTCTATTACCACCTCAAATGGAAGTTACTAGTATAAAACAGTAATATTATGCACAGTATATAAAAGCATTCACTACACGAAATGTTATATTGAGGTTACACACAAATTTTTATTAGAAACCGCAGTTTTCACTCTCACTCCCTCATAAATCTCTCATAACATTCAACTTCAGCTGAAATTTGCTGTGGTTGGTCTGGTTCCTGCCACAGATGCTCCTGGAATCCCTGGAAACTGACCCTTGTGCCATGTGAGGGTATCGTCTTCTGTAACCTGGACCAATGTCATTTGACTGAATCAAAGAAATACAGATGAGTTTCTCACAATACTTCTGTATGTTGCACCTTTATTATTATAATCCCAAACGTGATTTTTTTAAAAGAGTCAAATGAGTTTATATATTTCTGAGTTAGCTGAGCATGATAAAATATACCTTTAAAAATAATATTAAATTATTATTTTCCTGCTCTTCTCACTCAATGAACACAGTGGGACTCTTCAGAAGTGTAGGGCAAATAGGACTTGGCTCAGCCTGCTTGCCCTTGAAATCATGATGATGACAATAGTGATTGATTTCCAGTGATCTGCTGAGCATCATTTATCTACTGTACCTTCTGCTGCTAAGATCTTGTTTTAAAATCCTTTTTAACAGCATTGCTCAATAATGATTCTTCTCTTCTTCCTAACTGTAACACATATAAAAGCACGACAAGCATTAAGTATAATTTTTCTCTGTAGCATTCAAGTAAATAGATAATTATATTTGCGTGCCTATTGTGTGAATCCCAGAATAGGGTATTACTTTTGTTTTCTGCACATGACCACACAAACCTATAAATATTGAATAATAGAAAATAATACAATTGTAATTAAATATTCCTATATAATGTTCTTGAACAATAATAAAGCATTTCCAATTCAAGGTAGAAAACTTAATCTTGATAAATATGGATGCAGACATTTATTATTTCTCCATACCCCAAATATTCTTTTCATGCGAGGCTTCTGCAGTTGTGAAAGAGAATTGGGTTCCTAGCCATTGATGGATAGATTTATGGACTTGACAGTCCCGTTATTCTTGAAAAATAGGGTAGATGCCTTAGATAGGATAAATATGGTATGGGCCCTTGCACAAGTGCACTGATATGATAGCATGCAGGGTCCAGTTTCAGTTACAGAACTTGCCCCTGGGTTAGCCCAAGGATTGTTCCCTCTATGTATTCCTGGGAGATGGATATCACCTCGCATGGATCAAGAAAGCAGGGTCAGGCTGGGTTTCCACTTTTGCACTATCTCAGGAAGAGCAGACTGTGCCATCCTGGAGGATTATGCAGCCTGCACACTATACCCACTCATTGGTATGCTTGGAAAGGGAATGTATTTCCTTTATGATTCCCTTGGTGGGGTTTTGCTCCAGCAAGGGCAAGTGTATCCAAGATTCATTGTCTGATGACATGTTAATAATTATTTTTTATGTTATTGGGTAAACATTGTATTCCTCCTTGGTCCTGATCCCGCAGTAATTTCTTGGGCAAAACTTCCATTGATATCAATGGGATTGAGAACTTCAGGATCAGGTCTTATCTTTTATTTCAATTTCATATTTGATTTTAACTGAATTATAGAATATCTGTGTTATAACAAAATGTAAAGACAATAATTGAGATGGTTTAGTATTTCAAATCATTGCTTTGTTTCTTCTAGGTGCAATAGCCTAGTGAAGGCCCAGAACCTTCACACAGACCATATAATTGATTTATGAAAGCTTGTTGTCAATCTTGCTCCCATTTAACTCAATGGCAAAATTCCCATTATCTTCAATGGTTACAGGATTGGATCCAGAGTTAGACCATTGCTGGCAGCAAAGAAATCCAACCATTCTTAACAGTTATTTCTGGTACACAGTATTTGTGTCCTCTTCTTTGTGTGATATAATTGTAATTAAGATTGATGTGCAATAGTAAAATTAAAGCAGCACGGAGTATGAGACAAATGTGTAACTAATACTAACCATACATTTCAGTTTTGAAACTTGCATCTTTTTTTATTAAAAGGCCATGAAAGTATTGGAACCTGCCTTGTTTGTAACGTTGCTTTTAGGGTTGCTGTGACCTTACATTAAAATACATTTATTTGGCTAAAATAGGGTGCAGATTGACTTTATTCACACTGAAATCCATGGGCTTTCTTTCTTTCATACAGGAGCAGTATCTGATAGACTGTGACATATTTTTGTTTCATATTGTTATATCTATAAAAAGAGTTTGATATTTTATTGTTAAAATAATAGTGTATGTATCCAGTAACATCAATGTACTGCAGTTTTCTAAAAGAACCCTTCCTAGTGACCCTCAGAAAGCTAACCTGCTGGTTCTGAGCCCTTGATGCACCTCAGCCAAGATATCTGTAGAAGGAAAGAGGAGCTGCCAATAAAGGTGACTAGAATACTTGCAGGAGGAAGCAATGTGGGGCTGGGTGTGAGGAAGGAGAATGGTAGTAGAGGAGAGAAGGTTCAGGTGTGCAAAGGAGCACAGAGTAAGGAGGAACCAGAAAGAAGTCATTAGTGTACCTGAGGCATGAGGGTGCATGACACCCACAGAGAGAGCGGGAGGGTGGAATTGGGGTGGAGATAGAGGATAGAGCTAGTGTCTCAAGCCTGCTAATTTAAATGGACAACAAACTTTGTGTTTGTGTGTGTGTGTGTGTAGTTGTGCAGATTGCGCAATCACAAATTGGAACATGAATTGGTGGGAAGGTGGTCCAGAAGATGATTGCTCTAAGAAGTGGCTTTTGCTAGGAACCAATAGGTATTGCTGCTACTTTGGATCTATTCCTGCTTTTGTTGAAATCAATGGGAGTTTTGCAATTGACTTCATGGGAACAAGATCCTTCTTGGGAACAGCATCCATGCCTTTTATGTTTACAAGAGACTCAAAAGTAGCAAAAAGTACATTTGGTTCATTTGTAGTTTTTTATTGGTAAAGTAAAAAGTCTGTGAAATTCAGACCTTTCAATGTTTCTTCAGTTTAAATAGATTTTAGAGGTAATTATTTTAAGAACAATTTCACAAGATGTTACCTGAGGCAAATCATATAAAATTAAAACAAAGAGTCCAGTGCTATATTGTCAAATTCCAAGTCTGTAGGAAGTTTTAAATTTTTTAGCCTTCTGGAATTCCCATGGTTCACAATTTATTCATGATGTATGCCAGAAGGAAATATAAAGAAATAAATGTAATTAAATTGAAATAATAATTGTAATTATTTGAAAGCAAACACAATTCAATATAGACTTTAAAGGTCGTGTAAGTCAAAACCAGTTTAACTTGATTTTTAAAAAGATCAGAACTGTATAATAGAACAAAGTATCTCTCTGTATTTTGAAATTACAAAATTTTGCAATCACCTAAAGCTTAGAATAGGAACATTCTATAAAAATAAGCAAGTAACAAAGATTAGAGGTTAGTGCATCATACATAGCTTCAAATAATGGACAAAAGTGCAGTTGCTAATCACTGAGAAACAGCTGCACTAGTTATTTGATAATTTATTTAAAATAATATGTAGATGAAAGAACTTCGAGATTAAAAAAAAAACATAAAATCTTTATTATCCAACAAGAATGGGAGAATGGGAGGTGTCAGTTAATCAAAAATATCAGTTAACTAAAAGTTATACTTTCCAATGAAATACTAATTTTCAAAGAATTAGAATGCAATAAAATGAATAGAATATAAAATAGTATTCAGGTGTTCACCAATCCAGTAATAGTACTGCACCACAGAGAGGTTGGTTCCTTGATGCACTTACTTGTATACAGGTAAGATTTTCAATAGAGTAAGTTTTCTTATGATACTACATATCAATATGGACAGCACATGGCATACACCCAGGTCACTAAAAATACAATTAACCCTAAAACGGTATTGAACATAATTTAATTTTTGCTACTTCAGAAGGTGCTGCAGGATCTTGCCGTCCCTTAGGGTTATCATTACCAACCTCACTTATCATTGTAGATGCTGAAGGTGCAGGAGATTGGGTTGAATCTGTAAAAGCAGAGTGCAGAATGAGCAATTGCATAACCTCCTGGGCAGTAGACTAGTGCCAGTTATTAGACTGAAGATTTGAACTGAGAGATATCAGAAATGCTAGTTAATAGAGCCTTCTGGCTGATAAAGTGCCGGATAACACAGCTTTTACTGTATTTAAAAATGTATCAGTATGTGCTGGGCATTTTAAGTCTCCTAAATGGTTTTATGATTAGATATCTATAGTTTGCTCTTATGAATGAATTGTGTTATTTTCTTTTTTGCTCTGTCTGGTATGTAGCATCTTGTTATCAGATGTGAGGCCAGATTTTGTTCACAACATATGTATGTAGTCTCTTAACTTAAAAAAGTTGGACTTTCGTGTAAGATAAATGGGATTTGGCTATGTATTTCTTTGCTCATTGTTAGGGCTTGAGCCTGCAAGCACATATGTGAGTATCTTTATTCAGCTACTCTTGTGCATAAATATTTGCAAGATTGCATCCTTAAAATGTCAAAAAGCTTATGTGACTCATATGTCTATGCAAAGACAGTACAGATTTGAACTGAAAAGAAAATGTACTAAAAGTGATGTTTGTGATAGTTTAATCTATTATGTAACTATAAATGTGTATAAATTTCAAAACACATTTTATTTACCATGTACCTTGTCATGATTGCATGCAGTTGCTAGATTTTGTGTTTTAAAAATAGAAAATGAGTATTCATTCTAAAAATCTTTAGTTACTAATAATAATAGTTACTGTGCATACTGGCAGAATTTAGTTTTCCAAGCCAATTTTTAGTTGCACAAGCACAGTTAGGATTGTAATCAATTTCTTTACTTGAATAACATAAAAATGAACAAAACATATTTTGCAAATGTCAAGTAAAAAAAATCTCTTGGGCTGAGTCCTGCTGTGCCAGCTTTAGTTAAAAATGGGATTTATAATGGAAATGCTGACACAGTCCTTTATCAGACTATTAAACTCAGATTTAATGAACATCAGCCTATGATCTTCATATTATTAATGTCAGTCAGCATGCTTTACATTTAAGGCAAAAATTCTGCTTCCTTATTTATGCACATAATCCCCTTCAAGTCAATGGAACTAACCACATAAGCAGGGTGAGCAGTACCGGACACAAAGTACAATTGTGGTTGTGATAAATCTTCTACTAAATGCACTTACTCTTGAATCTAGGACTCAATCCTGCAACTTTTACTCACTTGAGTAAATTCTGACATGATTACTTACACCAGTGACAATTGCTGTGTCAGGTTTCCAGGGCCAGTCTCCAAAACTTCTGTAAATGTAACTGAAATTATTGAATAAATGCTAAAATGATCATTTCTTTTCTATATCCCTTTTCCATTGTCTTTTACTTAGGACAAACAGTAAGCATTACTGAAATACACTTACAATGTGGCAATATAAGAATTATAATTAAGGGTCTATTTATGTTATGATATTGCAGAAATTGTGGATTCTGCAATATTAGACTTACTTCCACTGCAGTTTTGACAGCCGGGGTTGCGAGTCCTGGGTGACTGCTGTCAGCTCTGGGCCCTCACTAACAGCCCTGAAAAAAACAACAAATGGTCTGGTAGCATTTTATAGACTATGTTTTTTTCTTCTGTAACAGACTAACTCGGCTACCCCCTGAAGCTCCTTAAAAACCCTGAGTGACTTCAGCAAGAGCCTCTCTCTGAGCCCAAAATGACTGACAGCAGGAGCCAGGAGTCCCCACTCTCAGCCCCATGTTTTCCCTTTTAGCCCTGAACTTCCACTCTTCACCTTGAATGCTCTCTTTGGCTGTGTCCAGACTCAGGGGTTTTTTCGAAAAAAGTAGCCTTTTTTCGAAAAAACTTCACCTGCGTCTAGACTGCAGCCACGTTCTTTCGAAATTAAATCGAAAGAATGCGGCTTTTCTTTCGACGGCGGTAAACCTAATTTCACGAGGAAGAACGCCTTCTTTCGAAAGTGCTCTTTCGAAAGAAGGCGTTCTTGACAGCAAACAGGCTTTTTAGAAAGAGAGCATCCAGACTCACTGGGTGCTTTCTTTCGAAAAAGCGGCTTGCTTTTTCGAAATTCCGCGTGCAGTCTAGACGCGCTCTTTCGAAAGAGGCTCTTTTGAAAGTATCTTTCGAAAGAGCCTCTTTCGAAAGAGGCTTGCAGTCTAGACATAGCCTTTCAGAGCCAGGTGGGCAACATAGGCTTAGGTTTACCACAAATAATGCCCATTATTACTTTTCCACAATTTTCCATGGCTTGTTCTCAACTTAGCTGTATTTTTTGATAATCATCTCACAGTTCAAGCACAGCCTTATTTATAATAGAACAATAGTTGAAGTGTCTGATGAGTGTTTTGCATCACTGAATAGTTTTATGCAGGGCTAACTGTATGTAAGTGTAATTTCACATCCAGTCTCAGCAAAATTTAGCTAAATTCATAACATGTTAAGTCACAACTGGAGGAAGAGGAAATGAACAATTTTCTGATTCATGTAATTTATGAGAAACATGGGTAAGGGGGCAGGTTAATGACTATTGGTTATGTTAGATAAAAATACATTTATCTACCAGACAGAACCCCTGTTAAAGGTGGAAAAAGCCCCCCAAAATGAATTTTTCAAGGCTTCTGTATGGTCATGTAGTGCATAAGAGCTGAATGTATTTTTGCTGAGGTAGGCCCTTAGATTTTTAGAAGATCATAAATATTGTTATTTTCTATATTGGTTTTATAGTAATGGGTTGTTCCAGCTCATATTGTTTGACTAGAGATTTTAAGAAATTTAAGAAAATCAAGTTCTTAAAACATATGGAACAAATAAAGAAAACAAGAGCCATTTTAGGGTTGCTTATTTATCTTGTGGGTAGTGGAATGTTTTGAATTGTACAATTGAATGGATTATTTTAACTGAAAAAAAAAAAAGATTAAAGGTTTCCAGGTTCATAAACAGCCACACACATAATCTGTGTAAGTAGGTTAACAAATTATTTTTATATATTGCAAAGAAAGTAAAGTAAAATCTTGGAAAATCTGGAAATTCTGAATACATAAAGAAAACAATTGTTAAAGTGATTTAAATGTTATTACAGTATTTTAAAGGCCAGTTAACTGTGTAATAGCAAGAATAGCAAGGCTTTAACATTTAAGCCATATGTGGGCATATGTTTTTTCATGTTTTGTATTTTCAATAAGACAAAGTTTCTCCTGGATACTGATCAGAAGGCAAGTAGTGTAGTTACTTGCAAGAAGGGGAAAAAAATAATTACACACCTTACAAACTGAGGAGCCTACACAATGACAGTGGATATATATGCCCTTTGTATTTTTTATAAATCATATTTGCTTTACTGAAGTTGAATTTCAGATACATATACTAACCATTGTTTTAATCTAATTCAAATATGAACCTCAAGACACTTAGAATGGACTTCATATAATGGCAAAAAAGTGGGGGGAGACTAAGGAGCCCTCCTGCTGTTATAGGGACTCCAGTACTGGTCAACAGGTGTGGTTCTATGGCAACAGAGAGGGAAGCTGGATGCCAAGGGTCATAAAGGGATGTACATCTCCTGCTGGTTGTAGGGCTGATTGTACAAGGTCACTGCATCACAACTTGTAGGGGTAGAGAGAGGAGGCTGGGGCTTGAGCCAGGTTAAGGATCTGCTGCTCTGCAGATCCTTCTGTTCTCCACCCTTTAAGAGGGCTGTGCTAAAGGCTTCAGAGTGTACTCTGCAGCCCTAGAGTTGCTTGGCATGGAGGATCCCTTTCTATTGAGACTTGTACATTTCCATGATTGTTCTGGCTACTTGAGCTAAGTGCTGCTCTCTGGATTTTAGCCCAAATGTAACTGATATTTCCTATTCTTAGACATTAAAGAATACTAATGACCTTTATTTTTGTATGCTTAAATCTTCTTGGCTTACCAACATGAGTAGGCCTGTTGAAACCAGTGGAATGAATTGTGTATGCAAATTGAGAAGGATTTAGATCATTGTTACCTCTGTAATAAATTATAACAGAATAATAATGATAGTTAATAATTACTAACATTCCCCTGAAGTCCTCCATGGGAAAGACAACAGAGATGAGAAGGAAGAACTATGCATCGTTATATAAAACACCTTTACCTTGCCTTGTTTACCTATGGACCTGCTAAGCTTCACTTAGACATTAGTAATACAGGCAGTCCCCGGGTTACATGGATCCGACTTACACCGGATCCCTACTTACAAACGGGGTGAGGCAACCCCACACTAGCTGCTTCCCCCCAGCAGACCAGGGAGACGCGAAGCTAGCGCCCCCCCCCCAGACCAGGGAGACCGGAGCGGCTTTTCTCAGCAGACACCTCAGCTTGAGAATAATACCCTGAGGGAAGTGAGGTGTGGGAGAATAAAACTGAGCTCTGGAGAAATGTTTGGCTAGAGTTTCCCCTACAATATGTACCAGTTCCGACTTACATACAAATTCAACTTAAGAACAAACCTACAGTCCCTATCTTGTACGTAACCCGGGGACTGCCTGTATACCCCTCCATTACCTTTTGTAATTAGCACATGATGCTACAAAGCAACGTCAGCTAATTTTATAGAGTTTGGGATGAAACCCAAATTTCGCTCCAGTTCCTTTCCTATAGACATATTTTTATATTAAAGGCTAAGGTTCCAGGGTGTTCTGCAAGAGATTGTATTTTAAAAAATGGATAGCTCTTCTGCAGGAGCCTTCAAAACATCATTGCCAATTTGTAGTCACTAACTAGGCCCTCTCATCTCTTATAGTGTCACTGTATTATTGAGTAGCCTGGAAAGTAGTGAAGTATTGATCGCAAATATTTAGGGATGAAAAAGGAAATATATTTTCTTTCAAGGGAGTTTACCGTCCTTTCCACCTTTTTAAAGTCATTTTTCTTTTGTTGTGTTTAAACATATTAACCCCTTTCTATTACATGCAGTAGGCTGATGTGTCCATCTTATGGCATCTGCAAGGTGGACAAATCAGTGCCTCATGCAGCTGGCACTGTAGAGAACAGATCTAGAAGGACAAATACAAGAAGAAAAAAGAGATTAGAAAAGTTCTTTTTGCATCCAAATAATTTTGGATAGAAAGCAAAAGTAGATTAATTTGTATCTGTTTTTGTTAATTTGGTATGAACAAAGGTTTATCCTGAATGCCTTTGCAAAGCAAATTTTGAATTCTGAAGATGGACTTAATTACACTGCAGTCTCTCCCCTTTCTTTCCCCCTCATCTCATACCTCCTTGCTCTCCTGATTTTATGTATGGAAAGCCTGCTGAAAAATGTCTATTCACTGTATCTAAATATCCATAGAAATTGCTATTTGAACCACAGACCTGCATTATCCTAAAGGAACATGAGGATGTTTCTAGAAGAATTTTTAGCATGTTGGTCCATTAGGGAGATATTTTTAAAAGCATTTTCAAAAAGAATAAAGAGTGAAACAAGAAACAACAAAACAATGTCCCCCCCCAAATCCAGCAACCTACTTCTTGCTGCCCATTTCCTTAGAAGTCCTTGTGCAACGACACTGGCACATGCAGGTGGTTTTCTGCATGGTTAGTTTGTTCTCTGCCTGGTACTTAAACTGAAATCATTAACATGTGTCTTGTACATTACCTGAATGAAAGGCCAGTTCCCAGGTTATTACTGCCCATTTTTCCTCTTTGCTTCTGCGCTTCCCTGTTTCGATTACAAATCCCCCTCCAGGCACAAAGCAAGCTGGACACCTAGGGTGCAGCTAAAGAGTTATTTGTTCGCTAGGTAGACATTAATGAATGACTGTAGTGCTGCCCTGAGCCTAGGGTTCCCCACTATTAAAAGTTTAATAGAAAGATCTGAGAAGCCAGGGGCCAAGAGAAGGAAGAGGGGGAAGCTGGACTGTAAGTAAATCAATAGGTACCTTGTCTGTTCTTTTGCCTTAGTGGAGACTCCACCATCCAAGAGGGCAGCTGTAACTAAGGCATTAAGAGAAGCTATTTACCTCTGTACTCTCTCTTTTTGGCATCAGTCTCAGCAGAAGCTGCAAAAAATGCACCTTTTACTGGGAAAAAAAGTCAAGGAAGCCAGAATATGGTACAGTTGTAAATGGAGCTTAAAATTATACTTCCTCTATTTTCAAATTCATTTTCCCTTTGCTCTTTTTCTCTCGGTTCTCTGTCCTCTTTTCCTTTTATCTTTATTTTCATCCTTTCTTTTGTTCTCATGGCCCTT